CACACACACACACACACACACACACACACACACACACAACAGCATGAACTGATTTGTTTATATTTCTTTGACAGATTTCTCCTTTTAGTTTTTGCCCTACACAACCGGCTGTGAATGACAAACTATTTTGCCACCCTATGTTCATGAATAAATTATTATAATAACTAATGTTCTTTCAAATAATAATAGCCAAGTTTAAAAGCTTACCAAGGCCTTTGAGCAGCATTTACTTGCAGGGTAATTAACTTGTGTAACCATTTGTTTTAAGTTTACAAAATAAAAGATAATACAGTAATTTGTTCTTAACATTAAACTTTTAACTAAAACTGCTTAGCTTCATTTCCCTTCTTTCTCTCTTCACTATACAACCAGTGAATATCCTCTACAGAACAAACATTCCCTTTAATTAAARATGCACTAAGGAGTGTATTGAATGTCTCGTGTCAAACCTCCGATCAGCCTGAGTTTGCACATTCCCAGTGAGGACACACGGTGACTCCCTGAGCTGCTGCACAATTATTTCCACACGTTAACCTTTTTTATCACCTCTCACATTTGGACAAAACACACAAAAGAACTACAACACCCTAAAAGCATGCAATGTTTCTTACAAGTGCTAATACTGATGTATGCTGACATTTAAAAAATAAAAAAAGGTTTGACAAAAACAACAAAATCAGTGTTTTTGAAACAATAGTTTCTGTATGAAAAAGAAACTTTTTGCACCAGTGCACTGATGTTTTGTCTTAAATATTTCCTTTTTGTTTCTCTCAAAGAAAACAAGATATTATGACAGAGAAGCTCATTTGAATCTGGAAGGTTGACAGGTGGCCCTCCTAGTTTACTCCCACAGATCTGAGCTTTTCCACAGGAATCAACACCCCCGGACTAGAACTATAGAACCACAGGAGAAGCAGCTTCCTGCCGCTTCCTAACTAAACGAGATAATTCAGCAATTATCTCTTAGTTGACATGGAGAGGCCCTCAGACGTCCAGTCAAACCACAGACCGAGGGCGGTGCCCCGTAAAGAGAGGGGAACCCCGGTGCCTCCAAAAACTCAACGCCAAAAGTCTCCGGGGCCAGGTGGACGCCCCGAAGCTCCATCAGCCAAGAAGAAGAAGCTGCAGAGGGAGAAGCTGGAGACAAACCAGGAGAAGATGGAGGGGGAGGAAGAGGAGGTTCGGCTGAAATCTACTGTGGTGGACATAGATCACGTTAGAGATGAGGAGGTGAAAGAGGAAAGTCTGGGAGTCTTGGAAGCAGCAGGGCAGGAGGATGGTGGGTTAAAGATCTTTTTTTATTTAATTTAGTCTTATTTCAGTGTTTTTATTACATCTTATATGAATTCTGTTATAAACCAGTAAATTTGTTGTGAAGTGGTTTTTCAGTAAGATTAATTCAAGCTGTTGTTGAACTTTATGTTTCTTTATTGATCAGTTTATATGTCTGCAGGTTTGAAGCAGAAGAATCTGGGAGTGTTCGAATGGCTGCTGATGGTGTTCGTCCTGACACTAGTTCTCCTCTTCCTTCCTTTTACCATCTGGTTCTGTGTCAAAGTATGAAATAACATCAAACACTACCTAACAATTTGCTTCGAGAAAAAAAAAATCTGTGGATTAATTGTTAAAATGGACACATCATGGTGTGCTTGTTTAAGGATGTCTATCACTAACAAATGCCTTTATTAAAGCAATAGTTTACTGAAATTAGTTGAATGCATCTGTGAAAGTAATCTTTAGATGCCTCAGTTTAAATCTGATTTGAACTTTGCAGTAACTTCATAATCATTTCCATATAAAATAAACTTTAAATTGTATTCTTTGTTAAAATATTTTCTAAAAAAAAAGAGACATATTTGGGACAAAAAGGTTAAAATTTGGTGGCCAATTTAGTTTTGTTCATTGCTCAGCTGAAAGATGTCATTTTAATTAAAGGTCATCAGGGAGCACGAGAGAGCTGTGATCTTCAGACTGGGTCATCTGCTGCAGGGAAAACCCAAAGGACCAGGTCAGCACAATAATAAGATAATCTCTGTTAATAATGAAAATTCACACAGAACCAATGAAACATGAGGCTATAAAGGGTTGAGAAATTTTAGTGCATATTAAAGAGGGTTATGTAATCTCCAGGCACATCCTTCAATTCTAGACCACAATCAAGTAACTGTTACCTTCRTTTGTTATAAAAATGCTGCATGTATCAAAAAACAAACAAACAAAATTATTTTTGCATCATAGTCTAACGCTTTGAAATTGGACCCTATTTCTTTAAGAACCTCCTACCGTTTCTGACACTCCCACTTCAGCATGTCATCACAACAATGCTTCGGGGAAGGGGTGCTCTGTGGGGCGGGAGCTCGGCTGAGGACTGAGCTCCTGGGAGGAGCTTTGTGTAAATAGGCGGAGCTTTGTACCGGTAAGCGTATTGGCAGCCCCACATGGCTACAGGAGATTTAAGGATTTCTCAAACATGCACGAATGAGTCAAAGCAACACTCTGGGCATGTTTTTGATGAAGGAATGACATTATAACATGATAAAAAGCTAAAAAATATTAATATTGCATACCCCCCCTTTAAAGTTGAACTTAAACAGAAATGACCGGAGATCATTTAATATTCATATGACCATCATTACACACCAATCAACAAGTGATTTAGGTAAATCTTTTAAATGCATGATTTACAAAAGTTCCACCTTTCTTCAAATTTCTCATCTTGTAATTTCAAGAATGTGTTTGTTTTTTAACATCATCCTCTAAGATTGGAGTTTCTGCTTTGAACCCTTTTGTTTTGTAGATTTTATTTCATTTTCTGGCTTGGCAAGTTGRATTTTTGTTTCACCGCTTCCAGAGATCAGTAGGAAGACAATAAGGCTGAGTTGCACCTTATAAACATCCCTTAATTATTTCTGAGAAAGGTTTCTTATTCTCCTTCAAGGCCTCCTTTTCTACCTCCCTCTGCTTGACGTGTGYCACAAAGTTGACATCCGGCTCAGGACGTTGAAGGTTCCTCTTCACGTGGTACGAAAACACACATTAAGCCTACAAACAATCATATCTGACTCTGTTTGACTGATGTTTGAACTTTTTTTTTCTGTGTAGGTGGTGACGAAGGACCTGGCCAGGCCTGAGCTGAGCGCGGTGTGTTATTACCAGATAGAGAACGTGGCTCTGTGCAGCGCCGCTCTGTCCACCCTGACCTCGGTGCTGCAGAGTCTGCTTCAGGCGGCCATCAGGGACGTTCTGGCCCAACACACTTTCAGCCACRTCCTGCTGCACAGGCGGCGGGTCGGGGAGCAGATCCAAACTGCTGTCGACTCTGTCACCTGCCGCTGGGGCGTCAGGGTGGAGAGAGCAGACATGTAAGCCAGAAAACTAGAAATCTTTCACATCACTTTGTTGTAGCCTTAAATCTAAGCTCAACATAAATCATATTAAACATCGTTGTAGTCATTTTTGTGGTTGTAGATGTAAATCCAATGATTACAATCTACAAGTTTCATAAATAGGATTGTTTCTTACTTTCTCCACAGGGATTTTTTTTAAGATTAGCAATAATGTGTCAGATCCAATTGCTGTTAATCAGTGTTGTATAAAGTACCACAAAGTGACACTTGAGTAAAAGTACAAGTATCTTACCAAAAAAGATACTTTGGTAAAGGTTAAAGTCTCCTTTAGGAATATTACTTGAGTAAAAATCTTAAAGTATCTGATATTTTTTGTACTTAAGTATTAAAGTAGAAGTATTGATTTAAATGAGCAGTTAGATTTTCTGTAATGACATTTATTAGGAGGTGACCTCCCAAAAAATGCAGAAATRACTGTCGTATTAAAATAATTAATTTGTTAAATTTAGGATGCACTAGTCTGTTTCAGTTTACAAACATTTATCAAAGGTGACCAAACCTTTTCTCTAAAATAAAAAGTCTATCCGATGGCTGTGGCCAAATGCAATGATATAATTCATGAAATACAAATACTTCTTAAGTATTCACTTCCTTTTATTTTAATGATTATGTCCTGCTGGAGGGTGACATGATTTGTTTGTGTACAAACTAATACAGTATCAGAATTTTATATATTTATACTTCTCATTCAAGCGCAGTTAAATTCACTCTATCTAGGAGGGACCATTTATATGGAGTATTTATTTTTTACAATAACAAGCTGGAACRAAAACAAGCAAAAATGAAATAAAAGTAATGACTTTCTACTTTTTGCTTTTTTAAAAAATGTAAGGAGTAGAATGCAGGGTTCATGCAGGTTTCAGTAAGTTAAATTTAAAACCTTTTAAGACCATTAGGAATGACCTTTAAGACCAAACTGACACATTAACAAAACATTCAAATAGTCCCAGAAATTTTAACGTAAAAACCTTTTATTGCTTTCAACTTAGGTATTAAAGAATAATTAATTTTATTACAAGAACACTTAACTATTTTAAAGAAACTCATATCTATGAGACCTTCATATCAACTGATGTACGCTTCCAGCCGAGGGCAGAAAAGACTGAACTTATTTGATTTTTGGACATGTGAACAAGCCGCCGTATGCTGGAGGTTGTAGCAGCAAAGAGGTCGAAAACATGGAAGTAAACTGTGCCATATTTGCCTGCAGTTATCACAGTATTTGTAGTTTAACACGTAAAAAGACTGGTAGCAAATGTAGCACTTCATAAAGACAGACCACATCAACCTCTGATTACTGTGCTTTACTCTATTTATGCAGCCAACGCTTCTCAGGAATGATAGAAAGTAAAAAAATTAAGACTTGGCAAAATAAAATTTAAGACCTTGGATGAAAATCGCCTTGTTTTTAAGACTTTTTTAGGTCTAAAATTTAGATTTGCAAATTTTAGACTTTTTTTTGACTTTTTAAGACCCTGCATGAACCATGAGAAAGTACAGATAATTGTGTGAAAATGTAAGAATTAGAAGTAAAAGTAGGCTGAAAAATAATTACTCAAGTAAAGTACAGATACCCATAAATTCTACTCAAGTACAGTAACAAAGTATTTCAACTTCATTACTTTACAACTCTACTAATTTAATAGCTGCTAAGCTTGGTCATCGTTCTCACTCCTCCATGATGTCACAGATGTTAACAGTGGACAGGATAGGCTGGGCTCACTCTAGTGTTTAACTCTATGGTTTCAGTTGAACATGTTTTTGATTTTCTGTCAGAGATGAGCTCAGTTTTCCTGCGGAGCTGCAGCAGAGTCTGACCGCAGAGGCCGAGGCCAAGAGACAACAGCAGCTCAGAGTAAGTCATCATTAACTCTGTTCACCGCTCGTTTCTATTTGATTGCTTTTTTTGTAGGAGTGTCCCGATACGATATCGATATAGCTGTCTTGATTATTGACCAATACTGATTGACCCAATACAATATCAGAACGAATTTCATTTCATTTTTTTATTGTAGTGTGCAATCTTAAAAAGTCTTTGATCATGTCAAACAGTAAACAACAGTCAACAACAATAGGTATGAGAAAGACTGATCCCATTTATTATAATCCAATGGGTAACCCATTAGATTATAATAAAAGGAGCCAGTTGAGGTGGTTCATCTGGTTAGGATGCCTCCTGGACGCCTCCCTGGTGAGGTGTTCTGGGCACGTCCCACTGGGAGGAGACCCAGAGGAAGACCCAGGACACGTTGGAGGGACTATGTTTCTCGGCTGGCCTGGGAACACCTTGGGATTCCTCCGGACGAGCTGGCCCAAGTGGCTGGGGAGAGGGGAGTCTGGGTCTCTCTGCTTAGGCTGCTGCCCCACGACCCGACCCCGGATAAGTGGTAGAAAATGGATGGATAGACAAAGGGTTGCATTATTTTCTAACTTAAACATTAAGAATATTGTACAATTAAATGCAATAAATAAATACTAAAATAGAAGACGCTGACAAATTACCTCAATAAATAAATAAATAAATAAATAAACCCTCAAAATACTTTTAAAGTGTAAAAGAACTTTTCAAGGTCACTTTGTTATTTATGCCGGATACAAACGCTGCTGGATAGAAATCCTGAGAGGACTACGATGAACTGCTTGTATCAGTGATTTTAGATGCAGGCCAGTATAATTCGATATTCTTTTTTTTTTGGCTAATATCGGACCGCTCTAATCGGGACAACCCTACATTTTTGCATCCTAGATTTGATCAGATATTTAAATGTTAAATGGACTGAACTTATACAGCGCTTTATCAAGCCCCATGGGGACCCAAAGCACTTTACACAAACAGTCATTCACCCACTGGCCACTGAACTGGCGACCTACCAGTTATGGGACGACTCCCTAACCACTCCACCACAGCTACCCCTTTAACTACACTGACTAACTTAACTAACATTATATTGTTTGTTAAGTGTCGTATTTGCACAGATGCGTACATGTCAGCATTGGGCAATCTCACAGTACTGTGTGAGATTATCACAGATTTTTTCTGAAAATGACAGATCTCTGATTGGTCAAGATAAACATCCGAGGAGGTTGACATGTGTTGACACACTTCAGTGTTTCTCTTTCTTAAAGCAGGTCAAAGCGTCTGAAAGTGAGATCGCTGCCTGGGACGGCTTCAGGAACTCCCTGCGTTATCTGCACCCTGCGCTGGTCTTTCCTCTGCCTCCAGATCTCCTCAGCATGAACTCTGACGCTTCATCCCTCCCACCACCACCTCCTCCTCCTCCTGCTGAAGAAGAAGAGAAGACGGCCGCGGAGCCGGGAACAGACTCACAGATGATGTGATTTTTTTTTTTTTTTTTTTTTTACTGTAGAATATTTGAGATGAATCAGCAGTGATTTTATTACAAGTTAAAACATCTGTTGGCTGGTAAACACGAGATGTTTCCTCTGACCAAATGCAAGAAAAAAAAGTCCTAAAAATAAATATATCATCACAACATTTGATGTCAGATGATTGATCCTCGGTCTTTTTGGTTCTGCTTGCTGGTTCGGTTTCATCTGTGGTTTGATTCTGGAGGAGCTGGGGACAGAGGTGTCGTTCTATCAGTCTCTGAAACACAAAGAGAGACATGTATAACATTTAAGACTGCACCACCATCTTCTTATTTTACATATCGAGTAGATATTTAGCCTTTACCTTCATTAGTTTGAGGCTGGGGACTTGGTCCACTTTGCAGTTCTCTCCAGGTCCTGAATCTTGTCCATTGCTGCCTGCAGGGCCTCCTCAGCTCTCAGGGCTCGCTGCTCGGCAGTCTTTGCTCGCAGCTCCAAATCACTGAGCAACGTTTAGAGATTCGAACGAGGTGACGTTTAAAATTTTGAGTTTTAATAAAAGGATATTTAGTAATATGAAAAAAAAAAACAGAAAAATGCATTAAGAGAGCAAACTCACATCAGCTCTTGTTGCAGCATTGCTGCTATGCTCAGATCACTCAAAGCTCTCTGGTCTTCTTCTGTTGCTGGAGACAGAACCAACTCGCTAGTCTGAAACAAACAAACAAACAAATTAAGGTATAATTCCAGTTTCACCACTAACATGTGAGTAATGTATGATTTAAGCTGCCTGACCCCGGTCAGATGGACACGACTCTCCCCCAGCCTTTTCTGAGCGATGCTTTGATCAAAGCAGATCTGCTTCACCACCGGCTTCTCACAAACTGTTAGCGCCCCCTGCAGGACAGCAACGAAAACTTCATTTAGCTTCAGTCTGACAAGGTAACTCTATGACTTTTTTACTAACATTCTGATGAGTTAAATTAGACATATCCTGCTTTTAAATCTTGCTTTTTCCATATTTAAATCATTCAGTCGGGGTCTATATAAAGTGGGACTGTAAAGTTTTGGTCTGAATTCCTCCTTATTGTAACTCCACAAGCCACTCTTTCACCACTTTTCTGAGGTGTGTCTCAGATCAACTCGTTTTAACGCTGTCTCCTTAAATCCAAACAAGGTGTTTCACACACACCGAAAAATATGATCCAAACAGAATATAAAGATATCTTTGTAGTAGGGTCGGGCAATTTTGGCAAAAAAAAAAAAAAATAATAATAATAATCACGATTAATTGTGGTATTTAGTGTTTCACACACACCGAAAAATATGATCCAAACAGAATATAAAGATATCTTTGTAGTAGGGTCGGGCAATTTTGGCAAAAAAAAAAAAATAATAATAATAATAATCACGATTAATTGTGGTATTTAGTCGATAACAATTAATATGACAATTAATCTCCTGGAGTCCCTGGACACCTTTATGTCCTGGTCACATGATCAATTTAGTGGGAAAGATTTGCTCTTCATAAAAATCTGTTCCAAATTGTGTCAAAATTACAGACTTCACGCTAGGGCTGGGCGATTAATCGGATTTTGATCTTGATGACGATTTGGGTTTTCAACTATCATAAAAAATAATGATCAAAGTTCGCAGTTTACGCTTACGCTGTTTTGTGTTGTGAATCCAGTGCCACAGCCAGCACAATGCTGCAGGCCCTTCCACAACCAAAGTTTCACTTTGTCTAATTTTTTTCTAAAATATTTGAAATCCTGAGGGAAACATTATTTAACAGCCATAGTTTATGTTCATTTAATTCATGTTATCAAAGTGAATTAACAATTTTGTTAAAAAATCTAGATCCCAATTTCAATCAAAAAATTGTGATTAATTTTTGCAATAATCGAGCAGCCCTACTTCACGCTATATATCAAATTTTAAACTATGTTGATAGATAAATAAATGACATTACTTTTTTTTATAATGTTCATCGTATTTGAAGCAGAGAGGAGCATCAAGCAGACTGACTAACGCCACCAGGCGGACTGACTGGAGATTTCTCCAGTCAGTCCGCCTGGTGGCGTTAATCATATTAATCATCAAGTGCCAAAAAATAATCGATTAATATTTTTCTGACGATTAATTGCACACGATACGATTATACCCAACCCTACTTTGTAGCACCAGGAGAGACTAAATGAAACTTTTCTGCACTCCTAAAGACCACGTACGCAACAAGATGTATTCAACAGCTGAAAAAAAAGGATTTTGCGTGATATGTCCTTTTTAAACTCTCAATATTCAACAAAATAAACGTCATCCCTTTTGTCACACAAAGCTCTATAATCTGTCATGTTTAGATTCAATTTTAAACACACTTTACTTAAAAAAAGAGAAAGTTTCCCATTTTTCTGAAGACGTTTCAGTTTTCCACATAGTTTACCTCCACTGGGTCTGCCTCAGATTCATCTGTGACATCTCTGACATCATGTGGCGTTAGCTCCACTGAAGCCTCATCACTGATCTGTAAAATACACACACACATTAAACACACACAAACCCAACATTTAGATTTTTTTAATCCTAAAACTACATTATGATTCTCTCATAATATCAGTATTTCAACAATACTTGTAAAGATTTGTTATCATGAACTATCTGATGTCAGTTTAAAGGGCAAAACAACAGCTTTGTTTCTCCTCTGGTTTTCTCTTCTACGCTGACAAGCTGATGTAACGTTCAGCCGTGAGCACACTTATCTCCAGTCGTAGCTTGATTAACATTCAGATTAACAGTTTAGTTTGAGATGAATCCTGACCTGAATCTCCATGCTGTCAGCTGAACCAGCAGCGATGAGAAGAGGAGATGGCTCGGGCTGACTGACGGGCTGATTCCCTGCCCCTCCATGAACTCCTGTGAGCAGGATTTTACAAGTCTCCACCCAATTAACGGACTCCCTCTGTGAACACAACTAAAGCTGTGAATGCCCATCATTGTCCAGCACTCCAGAGCTAGAAATCTAATAAACTAGGACCAAAATAAACAACTGGGATGAACTTGAGTTGAACAATTTCACCTGCAGCTTTTTGCACGCGTTCATCTCACTTTCAAGCTCAGCTTCATTCGGATCCACGATCATCTTCTCCTCCAGGATCAAGTTGCATGACCTAAAGTCCAAATCAAATATTTTCTAAGAAGCACATTCTGGAGAACAGGATCCAGTATCTGGACCAGTATAAAATAATATAAAGAATTAAAACAAGCTTTATGCACACAGCTGTAACAAGTGTTCAGCTACAGAAGAGCACCTGGTTATGTAGGTGGATAAAGAGACCAGTTTCTCAGACAGCCTTTTGGCTTCTTCGTTCAGAGTCTGCAGTGACATATTCATTTTGTCGTCAGGTTCCTGAACGCAGTTCTGCTCCTCGCTGTGATCAGGAATCAGGAGCAGCAACAGATCCAACATCCAGCGAGTCTGAGCCATGTGAACAGATCTGACCTGAGAGGAGACAATAAAACTTGACAAAACTTTACAAAGTATTTCAATAAACTCAATTTTTCATTCCGCAACAACCACAGACATGCCTCATATCAAGGCTCAGAAAACACATTTATGCATCTCATATTTGGGCCAGTGTTCCTGAAACAATTCTAAAGTTTTGGAACTGAAAAATGATTAAAACTTACTTCTCCTCCCATTTCTGTATGTATTAGATATGGTCCTTGCAGTTCAGACTGCATTTATCTAAACTGATATTGACAAAGATATTTCCCTCTGGTGATCCTTCCTGTGAATGGTGCACACTGGGATCGGCCTCACTAGTTCATATTATTATGTATATAATCCATTATTAGGTTATTACATATTATTACATAACACAACATTATTTTTCAAACTGATTCCAAAAAACCTAATTTTGACTCTGGTGTGAGGCCAGTTGCTGTACAAAAGGACAGAATGATCTGTTTTATGACTTTAACGACACAGAGACTGATTGTACTGAGTTAGAAACAGACTTCGCCCACGACCACTTGGCTCTAATGAAAGATATTTTGGGACAAATAATGTAATACGTGGAGAAAATATTTTTTTTCATTAAAAGTGAATAATATTTTTTTACTCAACTTGGCAGTCCATAAATTATTTCCATACAAAATCTGATTGTTTAGTTTGGTACAGCGATGTGTACGATGTCCTCTGGTGTTTGTTTGATCTTTTCTTTTTGTGCACGCATTTTTGTACAATGACGAAAATACTTCAATGGGGAGAAGATTACAAATAAAACTTACTTCTTCTCGTAGTTTCTGGTTCTCCAGCTCAGTGAAGTTGGACAGGCTGTTTGTGAACTTCTGAACGTCATCGAACACTTGTTTTGTTTGTTCGCTGCATCGTGAACAAACAGTTTAATTATTTTATTTATTGACTAATTTCTTTGTGTGAATTGTCATATCATAAACACATATAAACTATGATGACAAAGCTAACTAATGAGGAATTTGAAATCCTGATAAATCTTTAAATAAAATGTGTTACTTAAAAACATTAGGTTACACCTTAAATTAGATGTATCCTGCTTTTAAATCCTTCTTTATCTCATTTAAATCATTCAGTTGGATTCTATATAAAGTGCAACTGCAATGCTTTGGTCTGAATTCCTCCTTATTGTAACTCCACAAACCCCTCTTTCACCATTTTTTCTCAAAGCAGCTCGTTTTGAGGCTGTCTCTTTAGATCCAAATGAGAAACTTCACACTCCGCCCCCCTTCACCTTCCAGACCGGTCCATTCCAGTTTGATAGAGGAAAAATTTGACCCAAACAAGTATCTACGCAGCACCGGGAGAAACTAAATTCAAATTTTCTGCACTCCTAGACCAAGGATCCAAAACAAAACAAAACAAACAAACAAACAAACAAACAAAAAATACAAAAAAAAAACCAGTGGATTTTGCATGATTTGTCCTAATTATAATAATAACACCACTAACAACAACACACTTACAGCCGGTCAGGTTTGCTCTTGTCTTTCTTCCCTTTCTGGCCGACAGMAAAGTGCAATAACACTTCTGCAGCCAAACTGAGCCATTCACACATCCTCTCTTCCAACTGAAGCCAATCAGAAGGAGACATGATGCCATTCAGGCCAATCACAGCAGCACATTTGGAAACCCAGGACTCTATTGTCTCAACCAGAGACAGGATGGTTCTGTGGACCCCTGAAAGAGCACAGTTTAATTTCAGAGCTTCGGGTTTGTCTGGATCTAAAGAATTTGCGTCAGGAAGTGTGCGGTGACCGTCTGCTCTCACCACTCTCCCCGCTGACTTGGACATCGAGTTGCTTGTGGAGCTCGGACACGAGCCTGTCCAGCTCCCATAAGCCGCGTCGACCATCGGGGGCCCCGCAGTCAGGAGCAGGGTGTCTGTCAATGAGCTGAAGGCTCACGAGCTGGCATTTTTCTGAGACTTGGTCAAGTTCACGTAGTTTCTGCTGACAAAAATGCTGTTTTTCACCCTGGTATTCCTCATACTGGATGCTCAACATCTGCAGAAACAAAACAGGGCAGAACAACATCAAACCTTTGCTGATTCTCGGCCGCTTCCTGATCATTTTGATCACATCCTTTCAGTTTAGATTAAATTTAGGCATGAAGCTTTTCATGTTTCTGATAAAATGTGATTTTTAACAGGAGTGGTGAGACAGGTTATAAACAGACAAATTAGACTTGGCATGTGATGTGACTATAATAAGAGATGATGCAGATGAAAGTGACAGATCTGATCAAAATCATCTCAGGCATGTGGCAAATTAAATATATGATGATGTACGGTAGATATTCTGTGAAGAAGGGAACTTCAGCTGGATTTAAATGTAGACGAAAAACATTCAAGACAAAAAAAAAAAAGACACAAAGTAAATGTTAAATCTTACATTTGACCACTCCTTCAGATCAGAATGAATACTTTCAATTGATGTTTTGTCATATTTAGGTTCAGGAGAGCTTGTAAAACAAACAAAAAACAATTAGAAAGACACATTATTTGTTATAAGACTCAATGAAGGTGGTGTATTATAAAAGTCTGTTTTCTTTATCTCATTGTTTAGCTTTTCTTACTTATTCTCCTGGTTGAGGATAGAAAACCAGTTGGCGATGCCTTGCTGCGTGGCAATGATCTGAGAACACAGAGCGTCCTCGATCTCCTTCAGCCGGGACACGAGGGCAATCAGCTGCTCCTTCCAGCAGTCGATTAACTCCAGGAGGAAATGAATGTCTTCTGTATCCTGCAGCAGGAGGGCATTGGAGCAATCAGATACTGACTAAGTGAATTATTAAATAGAAACGAGGCTTTTTACCTTTGAGAAGACGTAGCCGAGGCAGTGCTTTGAGGTTTGGAACCAGCTGACCTCGCTGACGTGCAGCTGACCGACCAAATGCAGCTTCTTCACACTGATCATCTGGAAGAAGAAAAGCTGAACTCTTCTACACAAACTGCAACAAATATTGTTTTAACTGAGCTGCGTTGAGAACAAATCCTACCCTAAGACATCTAACCCTTCAGGTTCAAACCCGTATTAATAGCAGTCACTTTGCTTTTCATTATAAAAACACGTTACAGTGTGTGTGAGGGCACAGGAAGAAAAGAAGAAAAATAATAGAATGACATATTGGCAGTGATGGGAAGCACTAATCTAAATRTTAGTTGCACTAACCCTAAAGCACTAACTCAAATATTTAGGTCCCCTAATTCTAAAAAAYTAATGCACTGAAAAGTTTAGCGAAAGCTAATTCTAAAGCACTAAAATAATCCAGTTGATACATGAAACATTCTTCAGTCAACATGAGACAATGTTTACTGTGTGCAGAACACTTAGTACCCTTGATGGGCCCAAATGGGAGTCACCYGCAGGCCACATTTGGYCCRTGGGCCTTGAGTTTGACACATGTGACCTTGTAGATAAGTGAGACACATATGAACAAAATGTAWAACAGCTTTCACCATCAACTGTGAACAATATTGATCAATAACRTTTAACCTCTTAAGCCCCAAGGGGTTTTCTTGAAGTCTTTGCTCAAAATACTTTACCGAAATGTAACTGAGTGTATCTCAGCATTTACAAATTCTACTTACCGTAAATAATCTTGTTATCAAAATAAAGCTAACACTTGGGAGATTTCATCAGAAGTGTAAGTATTAAAACAGCTGCTGTGGTTTTAGAGATATTGAGGATGGAACATAATTTAATTTTATTTCACTCTCACCTGAATATTTTTTTCATTAGACAGTTTGTAACCCATTTAAAACCACAATGAAGTAGGCTAAAAACTCTTGGAAACCATAAATCCACTTGTGAACATTACCTGAGCAAAGATTCATGCTGCTAAAATGAACTGCAACAAAGTTACAGAGGTTTTAGTAAAGAAATAATTTTGCATTTTGTCATTTTGCACAAGATGGACCATGATGGTACCATTAATAAATGTTCAGAAATCTGAAGTTTTTACATCCAGAAGTTATTTATTTTTTCTTACCTGCCTTAAAAGACTTGTTATTGAATGTTTGTTCTTTTGAAAAATGATCCAAACATTTATTTGTCACCATATAAATTATATAAAATAATGAGAAATTATATTTGACTTCAGTTAGATCATATTCACTCAAAACCAAGTGAAAAAAAACTTTTAATCCATTTTATAACATATTTAGGCATCTACTTTGACTTGGTTTAAAAATAAATGTCAAAAATATTTCCTTTACAGATTTGCTATGAGGCCATTTTGTACAGTTTACTTTCTGATTCAACTGCTTGTGGTTTGAACTGTTTGGTGAATGTAAAAATAATTTCATGAGCTTTTAGCCAAGATTCTTAGCTTTCTTTTGATGCCAAACATGTCCAGGTTGAACTGACAGATCTTAAGTTAAAAGAAATAGAAAATGGAAAAAAAATGTTTTGCCACCGGTACCAGGGGCATGGGGCTTAAGATGTTTTAAAGACCTCAGTTAGTGATTGTAAATTTAGCCCATACATTTAGCAAGTGCTAATCCACTAATGATTTTTTAAAAAATAGCAAAAGCCCTAAAGCACTAATCAGGAAATAATTTCCCCTCTTAGTGCTTTAGTGGAACTGTGCCCACCACTGCACATTGGCCTCCTGTACCTTTGCAGCGAAGCGTTTGGTGAACCGACTCCAGAAGTCTCGCTCCTCGGTCACCTGGAGCAGCTGAGCCTCTAGGCGAGCTCGGTGCAGCTCATACAGCTGGTGGTAACCCTGAACCACACTGAGAAAGACACTTTGATCATTGGACAGATCACACTTTGGGCTTTTTCAGAGAAGCATAAGGACACATTTTTGATCCGTAACGCATCAAATCACATAAAACTCTAAATCAAAATGCTGTATTCTATATTACGTTAATCATCCTCCTAACCAGAAGTCTATAGAACTGAAGCTTCCAATCATTCACTTATATTTATCAGTTTTATAAATCTGATCAATTGTACAACACATAAAACTGAAGAGTTTTTCTTTCTTGCTTTCTTTAATCAGACTGACTCTGCGTTGCTGTGAGTCTCTCTGAGGGCGTCAGACAGTTTGTGATGAGCGTGCTCCACCTGCTGAGAAACAAACGAACCGTGGTCTCTGACGTTGGAAAKCTCCCTGTGAAGAGGAGACACACACATGCAAAAGCACATAAAGATGGGAGAAACACACCTCTTATATGTGATGATCGATACATTTCACATTTAAAGCTTTTAATATCACTTATTAATCCAGAACAATCAAATCAGGGCTGTCCAGTCCAGGTCTTTGAGGGCCGCTATCCTGCATGTTTCAGAGGTTTCTCTGCTCCAACACAACTGATTTGAATAAATGGGTGATTAACAGGCTTCTGCAGAACTTGAAGAAGTAATTCACTGAATCAGGAGGGTTGGAGCAAGAAAACAAGTCAAACATGCAGGACAGTGATCAGTTTCTGTCTGAGCAGTTTGATCTACCCACACGCTCAGCTGCTGGATGGATGCTTTGATTCTGCAGATTTCCTCGGTGAGGCGGCGGACCAGAGCTCGCTGTGCCACTGCCTCGGTGTGCAAAACCATCAGATGCCGTGGGATTCGATCCAGCAGAGACTGGTACCGCTGTCTAGGAGAAAAGGCTCACCAAGTCAATCAAAAGACAAAAAATGTGCTATCGCTATTCGCTGGCCTCACGACACATCCAGGGCTCTGTGACGGCTGCTCACCTGAGTTTGGCGAGAAGCTGTCCTCTCTCAGTGCAGCCCACGGTGACCTGCCTGATCACTTCATGGAAAACAACGTCGTAGATGTTCTGCTCAACTTTCACCAGCTCAAGCAGACCCTCAACCTGAATAACAAGTTGTCTAAAATGAAATCTCTCACAACTTTACACAAAATAAATACAGCTAGGTTTGCAACCTGCGGCTCTGGGGCCAGATGTGGCTCTTTGAAGCTTTGACCAAAGCCAACACGATATTAATTTTGGGGCTTTTACACTTAAAACAGACACCTTAGCAGGTTTTCTGTCAATTTGTTTGCAAATATGTGATCAATGCCACAATATAAAGAGTTAAATCTTGATTAGATCACGCTAGTAGCCTGTTGAACACTTCAATAATCCAACTTCTAGCTTTAAAGCAAGATCTTTCTCTCACATCCATCAGGGTTACCTTTAAAGATAAGACTAGATAATAATATGAATTAGAGAAAAAAATGCACAGTTCAGTTAAATTTGGTATTAAATTATGTACAATATTTTTCTTGTTTACATGAATATGGTCTTTTAATTTTCCTGAAGTGTAAAAAAAAATAAATAAATGTTAAAATTCATAATTTTTTTTTAGTTTTATAATGACTGTACTGTTAAAAATATATGAAATTGTTTAATATGAAGACATTCRCTTAGTTGTTCTAGAAAGTTACAATGTTTTGTTTTGTTTTGTTAACTGAAGATCCTTATAGTTTGAATCTATTTTTGAGAAAAAAGGGGCAGATATAATAAGTTTTTTTTCTCTCTGCCACCTTTCATTTCATTGTATTTGTATTTTCTTTTTTATTGTACATAGAATTWTGTTTTATGAAATGAATGAAGTTTGTAACTAAAAAAATGTCTCCCCTACTTGTCGGAAAGGCCCCCCTTCAACAAAGTTCAAGTGGCCCACGGACCACCAGTTGACAATCACAGTTGGAGCTTGTTTTGCGGCTCCGCACACATTTTATTAGTGAGACAAGTTTAACAAATGGCTCTTTGATAGTAAAGGTTGCAGAGCCCTGCACTAACAGAACATCCTGTCTGCATAATACAATCTAGATAAAATTTACTGACAGTAAGCAGCCATAACTGGATTTATTTATTCAAGTTGTGTCAGTAAATATGTTTTTCTGGACACGAATGCAGCACAGCACTTGTGTCGGCTGCAGCACAAAACCTCAGTCAGCTTTTCGCTCTGCTGRTCCACTCCGGCCTTCTCCATCATGTCATCCATCATCCTCATCAGCTGGACMACTTCCAGCCTGCCACTGGGCCTCCTGGACACAGAAGATACACACAATCAACACACAGCCTGGACTACTTGCCAACATTTAGCCCCGCCCCCCTTTTGAGCCCACATGCTGCCTCCTTCAGTAAAGTTTGGTAAAATGAAAAGATAAATGATCTTTTTTTTCTGCTCACAGTGATGGAAGGACTCGTAACTTCTGCTCTTGATCCCTCAGCTGCACTGTGAATGCACTGTGGAACAGAAACAGCACGAACATTAACAGGAAGCTTCGCTCCACTTTGAMAGCGGTAATGAACCATCATAAAGCAGACTCACTCCTCGTAGAACTCCAGGCATCGTAAGCCTTTGTTGTTTAGGATGTGATATTCCTCTGGGATGACATTTTTTGACACAATCGAGTCCTAAAAAAACAAAAATTACCTTTGTTATTAATTTGCTCATTCTTTTAGACAGGAAAAAACATGGGGTGGTGGTGGGGTGGAAAGCAACATTTAAATCAGAATCCTCACACCCTTTAGGTGTGAGGCCACGTTTGTGTGAAATGTTTCCCTTCTGGGTCAGGGTCAAGGCTCTGCCCCAACAGGAGGAGTTTGGGAAGGGATAGGTCGACAAATTGGGCCTCTGTCCACAGCAATGAGAGCATGGCTCTGATCTGCCCTGACAAAGAAAAAAACTAAACCCAAAGGAAAAGCTTTCAATTCACTTGTTGATGTTCCAGTCCTTACTTACAGAGTGTTGATTATGAAAAGACAAAGAGCTCCGTCATCCAGGGGGAACTTGGAGCAGAGATGCTGCTCCTCCTCTCCTCGGTGGTTCAGGCAGCTGTTTAGGATGAATTCTGAGATTCTTTTGGCATATTGCACTGGGAGGAGAGCCTGGGGGCGGAGTCAGAACTCACAGGAAGGATTATGCATCCTTTTTGGCCTCCATGCAATCCACCATGAGGAGCTGGAGATTGAGAGAGCTGGAGCTGATTGAGATGTTTGCATTTTCCTCCTGGACCTGTTGTCTCTGTGACCGGACCACAGATAAGTGGCAAAAACTGATGGATGGATAGATGGATGGATGGATGGATGGATGATGCATCCATCATCCATCCATCCATCCATGCATGGATAGATGGATGGATGGATGGATGGATGATGCATTGATGGATGGATGGATGGATGGATGATGCATTGATAGATGGATGGATGGATGATGATGCATTGATGGATGGATGGATGGATGGATGGATGGATGGATGGAATGTCCTTTTCTTTATACAGCACAACCAGGTAAAGATTTAGGGGCATACTTTATTAAATAATTTATTCTTTTTGAGAGGAAGTTGTCAGTCTACATTGATGAGTGCACTTAAACGCCATAATTTAATTTACATAATAA